GAAATTATAGACTTAGTATTTTGACTTCACAAGCACCTAATTTGAACAAGTGCTATATTCAACATACCACGTGACACACAAAAATCGATGTTTATCTGTGTTTTTTCAATATTTTAAATTAACATATTGAGTAATGTATAGTTCTAAAATTTGAATTATAATCTACAGTTTGATACCAAACTTATTGACATAAATTCATGAAATGGTAGTTCAATAAAATTTTTAATGCGAGTCAACAACCGAGATGACATGACCTTTCAACTGTGACCCGTCTCGAAAGAGTTAAGTTGAAGACATCAACTGGTGTAACATCAAAATTTAAAAATGATAATTCTCTACAATGGTACTTGACTGATTAGAAAATGCCATTTGATACACAGTGTGTCATTTCTCAGCTCAAGTTCTTTTATGACCTTTTGAAATCTGTAATGTTGGAAAATAGATGAAAAGTAATATTTTATATCCAGTGTTGTAAGCATCATGACATCAGATTTTAAACTTTTACTAATTGAGGAGTATGTTTACCTAAACAATCAAATAAGGTTCACATACACAAACATATTTTACTGTCTAATTGAGGACACACAGTGTTCATTTAAATTCTACCTATGGGACCCTTGAAAATCTCACTGGGACTCTTGAACAAAAAAAAGTTGAGAGTCTGGGACTCTTCACTGTGGAACCATAGTGAGAACCCTGGTACACTACATATTTACCCTCTGCAAATGTAAAAAAGCATGTAAGTATTCAATGAAAAACTATTTACAATTTATACTACATATTGTTTCCCTTTATTAGTGCAAAGTAATTTTCATGATAAGATAAATATACTTTTCTTTATCTGAAAATTTTCACATCATTCTCATAACCCCTAAAGCCTCCTAAATATATATATATATATCAAATGTTTTTCTTCTTTCTTTCTTTCTTCTTCTTCTTCTTCAGAACAACCATATTTTATCTGTTATTATTTTTACCCTAGCTCAGTATGAGGTTGGTTGATTTGACCGACCTCATAGCCACCATAAAAAAATTAGGAAATAATTATAACAATTTCCCTTTTTTTTTTCTGGAATGACTGCAAATTGTAACAAAAAAACACAATTGTTTATTCTAAGTAGCTTAAAGCTTCCAACAGTATATGTCTATTTTATTATTTTATTGCTCTTTGAACAGTGTTTAACTATTATACGCACCATATAAATTGCAAATCACGTGGGGAAAGTGCACCTCACATTACGGTATCAAATTACATATTGCACGGACTACTCGTGACCATATGTCATAAAAAAAAATATTATTATTGATATTATTATATATGTTACTTTAGCTAATCTAAAAAGTTTTCAATTTTTACATTTTAGTTACTTTTATAGTAATAAATAAAGAATATGTATGAAAAACAAGAAATAAAGTATTTACCTGGGTTTTTTTGCTCTCGACTGTCGATGAAATTTAACCCTATTTTTTATACCAATTGTACTACTGCATTAAATATTTTTTTACTTAATTAAATAATGCACCAAAGAACACAGAATAATAGCATGCAAGAAGGAAACAATGTTTCATAACTATCACAGTTTTTCTGGCTTTCTAAATGTGTGACAAAAGCCATTAAAAGTTTGTGGAAATAAAGTTTGAACTGGAAGGAAAATAGACAATTCTCTGTACAGACAACAATGTAATATAATGTATCATTTGATTGAGAAAAACTTTGGCTTTCTATTGATTATAAATAATAAAGTCTTAAATATGAAAGAGAACTATTGGCAAGTTCTGAAAGAGAGAATGTGACAGATGGGTGTGGCAAGAAGGGTGTGATTTTCTATCTTATTGCTCTGTAACTAAATAAGATTGAAGACTATGTAAATTATGCTTTGCCTGAATGGTGAAAACGTTATAATGAGTAATTTACATTAAATTTCATACTTCTTGGAGAGGTTGTAAAAAAAATTAGAAAAGAGGAAAGACATAGATAACAAACATCACAAGGAGAGATTGAGAATTTTTGTAAAACATTTCCTTATAAAATTAAGAACTTAAAACTTAAATAATACTAAACTTTGATTGATTATCTACGTTCTGATGCCGAGTTTATTCATATACATTAATAACAGTTTAATTAAATTTTGAATGTAACTCTGTGAAAGGTTGTGACATGCACACTTTGACCTACCCAAGGTGAAAGGGATAATCATGTGGTACTTCTATATGGCTTTATTTTGGTGCAATTTATTGTCATTGGTAAAATGTATTAGAAGTTTATTGTGGACAGATGGTTAGTTTGTTATGGTACAAAGTTCGAAACAAATTACTTGTGCTTGCCTTGCATATGGGGCATTTTGTGGTGCATATTCGGTACCTGAAGGGTCAACTCTCATGCATCCCAACAAATTCTTGTGTGTGCAGGACTCGGGAGTTCAGGTTAACTAAAATCTCGTTAAGTTTACCTGCCACTGCAACTATTTTTGAACTATTAACTAGAGAGAGAATGCAACTGGCTGGCAGAACTCTCTGCCGAGTCCTGGACTAATTTTTCTTCTTCTTT